CTGTTTTTCCCTTCCCTTTTTTCATTTCGAATAAATTTTCCCTTTTTCTCGCGTGGGAGCGACAGAATTGTCGTTAGTTTGATGATACTGATTGCTTGCTAGCACTGGAATAATGTAAATTTGCTTTTTGATTTGAATTTTTTATTGTGAGATTCCGCTTATTGATTGTAAGGAATGCAAATTTAAAAATTTCAGGCTCCTCAAAGATGATTCGCAGCAATTTCAAATCCGGAAACAAGAAGAGTCTTGCGAGCGATGAGTTTTCAAGCTCTGATGAGGAAAATCTACATTCAGAAAGCCAAAAAACCCAGATATCTACACATGTTGAATCCAGGAAAGGCAGAACTTGCCATGATAACGAATTCTCAAGCTCTGATGGCGAAGAAAATTTGCACGAGCTACAAAGTCATCAGAGCCAAAAACACGATTTTCATGCTAAATCGGATAAAGGCGATAAAGAATTTTACGGCGATAACGAATTTTCAAGCTCTGGTGAGGAAAATCTGCATTCCGAAAAGAAAAAAATCCAGAAACACACGTTTAATGAATCCAGGAAAGACAAAACATGCGATGATGACGAGTTTTCAAGCTCCGATGGTGAGGAAGATTCACGTGTACCAGAAGTTCACCTGGGCCAGAATGGGACTTATACTGAATCTGATGAAGGCGAAATACACGGCGGTGACGAGTTTTCGAACTCTTGTGAGGAAAATCTTAATTCCGAAAACAAAAAAATCCAAAAACATATGCATAATGAATCAAGGAAAGAAAAAACATGCGGTGATGACGAATTTTCAAGCTCCGATGGTGAAGAAGATTCACATGTACCAGGACTTCAACTTGCTGTATTCGATAAAGGCAAAACATGCAGCGATGACGAATTTTCAAGCTCCGGTGATGAAGGGAACTCAAAGTTTTTGGGTAATTACCAAGGCCTGGAACATGTTGGATTTGGTGGAGGTGAAATTGAGGAATTGGACGAGTTTTCAAACTCGGACGATGGTGATGAAGGGAATTCGAAGCCTTTAGAAAGTCGGCAAGATTCGGAATACGGCGATATTGGATTCGATGGAGGCGAAATTGAGGAATTGCACGAGTTTTCAGCCTCAGAAAACGAAGAGGACCGAGGGTCACCAAAAATACCTCAAGGCCAAAAACGTACTCATTTCGAGTCTAGCAACAAGCAGGATATCCATATGGATTCAAGCTCAAAGGTAATCTTTTTATTTTACCAATCCGGGATCTGTTGGATTCATTTTTCGCAGTTGTTTTGCCCGTACTAGCGAGCACGGCACAGTGACAAGTAGCGCTAGCGATACCCTTTTTCGGCATGGGGGAGAGGGCGGAAAGGGAGAAGGGA